CAACAGTTAGAAGCTCACTTGCACCGAGAATGGCGACAGATAACGCTTCAACAAATCAGACGTCTAACTGGCAGTATGCGGCGCAGGGTTGTAGCAGTCATCCAGGCAAACGGTGGATATACCCGATATTGACTTTTCGATGACTAATTATTAATGTGTGGGTCATGATTGACATTTTGTAATGTGATTTGACAATTCAATAACGTTTTTGAGCTTTCACTGACAATACTTATTAAAGATAATTAATATAATTTCATTTGATAAACACGTTTAGATTGAATGGTAATTTATAATCAGTCACAAGAACGTCGAATCTGAATCACTTGAAAAAAACACGGGGGTGCTTAGCTTTTTCCAGGTGTATATATATATATATATTAATATCAATGGACAGGCTTACCGCTTTCAAAAATGTGTGGATTAAGAGTTTAATATAGTTTCTCTTTTGGCTCTTGAACCGAGTAGTCATGGTCACGACTTTAGCACAAATGCTGCTTTAGACGCCATAATAAATTGGAAAGTTTTAGATATCAAAAAATAAAGTTTCCATTGTATAAATAAGGTATTTTTAGAAGGTAGAGACGCTTACAACCAGTACTTACTCTTTTCAAGACTAATATGGTAAAAAATACTAGTTTTATTACGATTATTTAACATCCTCAGGTGTAATTCCATATAGCCTAAATATAAATTAGTCAAAGGCGTCATTCATGCATTGATCATTCTATTCAAACTGTACTGTAACACTTTAATTTGAAAACTACATATTTCAACCTTGAGTTTAACCCTAAAAGTAATATATTTCAAGAACATTTCACAAGATGGATGAGCTGACTCGTCATATGTTTCGTTTGACCAAGTAATTTAAACAAAACAACCTACAAACTTTAGATTTTTTTTCGTTTCATTTTGCGCAAAGCAATTCGGGCTATATGCACTAGCCGTCTCCAATTTTGAAGTGATAAACTAGTGGAATGGCAGGTAGTTAACAACACTCACCGCCAACTCGCGAGCTACCCTGACTAGATAGTGAGATTTGATCGTCATTCCCATAAGGCACCCCCTCCAAGTGCGTAACGTTTTTCGGGTATCGAAACTCGGTTTCTAGCGGTATAAGCTCGTACACATATCGCTGTGCCACTGTGGGGTTCTTGCGTTTGAAGATGGTGGATGATAACACTCAGATCGAACTTTTTTTCCTGTTGTTTCGCTGCGAGTAATTTGAAAATACGCTTTTTGAATGCTCATGATAAATTTGTCCAATAAATTACTATCTGTAATCAAAAGCTATGTTGAAAGACTTTACAAATTTCAATTATTTAATTTCTTTTTTATATAAATCTTAAATACACAGGAATAAAAAGATTTTGGTAGCTAAGAAGACAGAATACAGAAAATGGTACTCATGGAATCCTGTTTTCATAAATGTATCCCATTTTTGAAATAAGGATGAAAAGGCGTTCAAATGTCACTGTCGTACTGTGTCATAAAATTGGGTGTTTTAACAATGATAGTTCCTTCAAATTATGTAATACAGCTCTTTCCCTCCGTAATTCTAGAGTTACTCATAATTCAGTGGATAATAAGAGTAATAACTCTTTAATGGTATTTTATTATAAAATAGAAATACAACTTCTATAGACCTTTCCAAACGTCACTGATGTATTAAAAACGAAATGTTTAAAAGTTTTTAACTTAAAGCTTTAAAGATAAAACTCGATAACATTTTAGTCTTATTATAGCTTGTTTCCTCGACAAACTAATGAAGACGATTCTTGGAAGTTATACCCATGTGGTGAGTATTCTCAACACTCAGAGGCGTATATTCGTAATGTACTTATGCAAAGTTCTTATATTCGGATCTGAAAACTGATACAAATTTTACCAGAAATAAAGAAAATACGCTTCGCATAAAGGATGTTTCAAATACAAAATGACTAGGGTTTTGTTTTTGGCTGGTAGGATGTGAATAATGGCTGAGGGTTTACATTACAGGATTGCTTTACATACTACATCTTTTACATTACAATGTTTCTGTTTTAGAGCTGCCGCATGTTGTTGTTTAGGTATTTTCGCGCAAAGCCACACAAAGGACTATAGGCTGCGCATACATGTTCCTACTTTTGTACTGATAGACTAGAGGAAGGCAGCTACTCAATAGCAGCCACCCCTAACTTTCGGCCTACTCTCATATGATCTAATAGAGGAATTTGGCCGTCAATCTTATAGCGCCCCCACGGCTTCAGAGGATGGATAAAGTTGTAGCGACAACGCGACGAGAGCCATGAATGCTTGGATTTAAAGTCTGGGCTCACAAATTACTTAGTCACTCCGGGTTCACCAAGATTAGAAATACCAAGAAAATCAATCAAACTCAGTTCCTTTGCGATTTTGTAGAGAAGATTTTATCGTGCAAACTGTTGACTTCTGGAAGACTTTTCATTACTGTGTAGGTCCTACTTTCGCCAAAAATGGATATATTTTTAAATTTCAAAATACTGTAGATAAAAGTATTTAGTTGCTTGTTTTCGGTTCATGATAAAGAAATTGTAAGAACTACCGGTATTAGATACATATGAAATTTCATTAATTACTTGGTTTGTTCGGGCTTCGTTCAGGGCTAATTGTTTAATTGTGTGTTTCATAATACGTTAGTATTAGGACTACTTTAAACACTACATTCTTAATCTAGTCCCTTAGGGATTTTCAAGGACTAAAAAGAGTGCTATTGTTTGAAATTAAGCACAAAGCTACACAATGGGCTATCTGTACTCTGCCCACCTCGGGTACCGAAACCCGGTTTCTAGCGTTGTAATTCCGCAGACACGCCGCTGCACCACTGGTGGGCTAAAAATAGTGTATGATAATAGTATTACAACAGGAATATATTTGTCATATCCTTTGCTAATGTCTGATGACAAGTAAAATTGTAATTATTCTTCGATAGCTTGTAAAAGGCGTACACATCATTGCAATTGTTGAATCAAATGGCTTACCGTATTGCCCCTAATTAATGCCCCCGGGGGTGTTGCAAACGGCAAACAGGGGGGATAATTTTTCGCATGTGATCTGTTGATTTCAATGCTAATGTGTGTGTGTGTGTGTGTGTGTTTTATTTCAAATCAAAGTTACGGTAACAAAAGC